ATCCTTATCATTCATAATGATAAATGCCAGAGATACCCACTGGGAAGTGAAACCTCAGCAGGGACTATGTATCACTAGTAATAAAAGAAATAATCAAGCTGTTGTTAGAACCAGACACTCAGACAGCAAATTCAATTTTTTTTTATTTTCTGTTCAATACCAATGACAGCTACCAGCCATCATGCATTACAATTAGCTCATGCTACAGGAATGCTATCTGCTCTGGTGCATAATGAGTGAGCTGCAACAGAGAGCAGGACTTGGGGAAGAGGTGAAGAACTATTTGGAGAGGTGTCACATAGCCTTGCCAGTTGCCAAGGAAACCAGCTCCTTTCTTTGGGAAGACTCAAGGGCTGCCTCCTTCACACCCCATACTATCAGCCTTATTTCACTTGCAAATAAACAAAAGAGAACTTTAAACAATTGCTCACTTGCTATATGCATTCACACTTTCTGTATAACTAACATTGGTGAGTCAAAAATATCCTTGGAATTGCAGAGGGGTGCTGCTCTTAAGGGCAGTTTAGGCAAACATTAATTTCCTATAACAAAGGCTGAACAAAATTCAGGGAAAGGCACTAGGACTTTTTAACACATTAGGGCTGGTCAGGAGAAACACCATTTCAATTACTGGGATGTTCTTTAGCTCCTCTACCCTAACACTGAATGTGTGCTGTGGACTCTTCCTCCAGGCAGCTCATACTCACATACAATTCTCCTACCGCATCCCAATCTAAATAAGTGTACTGTTCTATTGAGTTTTACAAGTGCAAAGTGTGCTTTGATTCTTAAAGCCTCAATCAATAGCAACTGTAAGGCAAAAGCTCCTCCCCTTCTTCCCGCAGTGCAGATCTCTGGCATACACTCAGAATATTTCTTCAATTATTAGCTTAGACCCAAAAGGCCTCCTGCACTTCTCCACATCCCCATCCTGTTGCACGCTTTCATCTGTAGAAAAGTTAGGGAAAACAGAGCCCTGAAGCCTACAGACTTACTGTGAGCAGCATGTCTGAAGTGGAGTTGGAGATGGCCTCTGCCCCTCCAGAGAGGCCTTCTAGCATTTCTGTCGATGGTAGGGCTCCACTAGTTCTACCAATAGCAGGAGGGTATTGAAAAAGGAATTTTAAAGAAAAAAAAAAAAAAAGAAAAAAAGAAAGATGTAGTCTGTCTTTGCTCTCAAGGACTACAATATAAATCTCTCAATTATTCAGTGCTGAAAGATTCCATCGCAAGAAGTGGGAGCACTGCACATTGATCCAACACAAAATTAGCCATAGAAATGATGTATGACTCTTTGGCAAAGAAAAGACAGAAATACAAAGATTCTTTGTAGACATTGTTGAATCCCTTAGAGTGTTCCCTATATTTTAGCGTGTGGCCTCTGCAATTTTTACAGAGGCTGTTTTGAAGTTCTATCCACTGCACAATGCTGTTAGAAGTCTTTTCTCTGTTGTTCTTGTACATTAACTGACCTGAGATTAACACACATTAATTCTCTAAAACAAAATTTAAAAGATCTTTATTTTCCTGTGAAACCCCAGGAACACTAACAGAAATGGCTTACATTTTAATTACTATCAGAGAAGTTGAAGAAAGCTTGAGAAGCCTTAAAAGAAAATACCAAATAAGTGCCTGTCTTAAGACTCTTATAGCTACTGATCCTATTGGTGTTCTCTTCCCTCAATATTTGCTCTCTCTTGGTATGAATGCTGAATAATTAAAGAAGTCATTTGAGGAAGAACAAAGCTTTTTGACAAAAGTGATTTTGCCTTTTAATTTTCAGAATCAAGTTTGCTGCAGGGAGTGTGATAGTATTAATTCTACTATTAATTTAAATTACAGATATTTTGTAAAGTTGAATGCTGGTTCAGTATTTGTGCAGCACTATTGCTGAACATCAGAAAGACAACAGGATTTAGTATTTTAAGACTAGAAATTCAAAATCCTCTAAGCCACAGCAAGCTTCTCAAAAAAGCTTGCTGGCTTTCCCACTGAGCTTCTCAAAAAGTACCAACCTATCACTCCAGGAGGACTGCAGCCACCAGTTAATCAGACTACTACTACACCCTGACTGACAGGGGGTCAGGTTACTTTCGGACTCTGTCAGTGGTTTCTTTTTTTTGTTGTTTTTTTTTTTTTTTTTTTTTTTGTACTGTTGTATTTGTTGTTGTTTTGTTTGTTTTTCATATTAAATTGTACTTCTCTTCTGGAGTCTCTCACTGGTTTGCTTTCAAACCAGCACAGTCTTGCATCTAAACTTAAACATACAGTATGTATCATGGCAAAATACTATAAAAGCAAGACCTTAAACTTAAAAAAAAGAAAAAAACCCCAAAAAAGAACATCTAATATATAACCAGAACTAAGCAGGTTTCTTGCTTTATGCCCTTCTTTTTCATGCACTTAATTGAGTCTCTCACTGGTTTGCTTTCAAACCAGCACAGTCTTGCATCTAAACTTAAACATACAGTATGTATCATGGCAAAATACTATAAAAGCAAGACCTTAAACTTAAAAAAAAGAAAAAAACCCCAAAAAAGAACATCTAATATATAACCAGAACTAAGCAGGTTTCTTGCTTTATGCCCTTCTTTTTCATGCACTTAATTCTCTGTTCCTTCACTTCTCTAAAGAAAGAACTGTAAGAAAGATGGAGAACATCTCTGTACAGCAGAGATTCCAGTAAAGATTTTCCCTGCAAAGCACAATATGTGTTAAAACCCTCTCATGCAAAGGCATCTTGGTTTCTCATACCATGGGAATGTCTGAAGTTGGAACAAAATGATGAAATTAAGCAAAAAAAAAGAGAGAAGAGTACTGCTTTTCTCCAGAGGTGATTTATGGGAGAAAAAAAAAAAATGCCTGAAGAGCAGTCCCCTAGGTTTGCTACATGCACCTCCATGGCACAGACATCAGAAGTCCCTAAGGCAGCTGGTACCAGCAGTGCTGAGCTCTGCCTTACTGCTACTCTTGTGCTGTCTAAATGGAAGCACTGGTAGGTAAATCTTGAAATTTCTGGGCAACTTAAAATACTTGGACAGAAACCAGTAATAAGTGTGGATTACTTCAAGATAACAGTTCTGAACTTTGTACTCCTACTGCAATTGCTGCAAACTCCTTTGTCTGGCCATACTATTTCACAAAATTCTTTTAAATTTCAAAGCCTTACATCACTATTAATGAACCCAGCACTACCCTCAAGTATCTAAAACAGTAGGACTCTGTCCCTCCCATTCCTGTCAAGCCCCTGTAAAAATGAGATGCACCACCCTTGCAATGTTTTCCAGCAGCAGCAGTATCTGCTGCAAAAAATGCAGCATTGAACACAGATGGACACCTTCCATACAAATCTGTTTCAATAGCGTAGTAAGCAATTACTGTTAGAGAAACAGTTTCTTCAGATAATTAGATACTTAAAAATTGAAGTTGTTTATGTTTATATAAGCAGAGAAATTATAGACAGAATTATGCAAACAAATCTATCATGGACCATGAGCTCCTGTCAGGTTGCTAATGAAGGTAGAAAGCAGCAATCTTTCTTTATAAGGTTCTCTAATGACCATGATAACAAACCAATTTTTTTTTTTACTGCTGCATATTTCCGTTCCCCCATTTTTTTCCTCACTATGTATCAGTTTATAATGACAAATGCTCTCTGAAGACAAAGAAGATGAAAGAGACTTAAAGATAACCTTCTTCAATTATGCTGGCACTGAAATTATTAAATTAAGCAAAAATCCAGCATTTAATTGTCAACTTGGCTCTGATTTCTACCTAACGAGTTTATGGACTCTGTTAAGGTACATTCTGTCTTTGCTTAAAATTTATTTCAGAGATGTGTTAAAGAGACAATTACTTCTTTTACCTTAGTGGAAGCTGTAAAGGCTAATAATACAGTACTCCATCAGAAATATTACCTTTCCTTCAAGGCAAACATTTGCTGTTTACAGAAGATCCATGTATACTGATTAAGAAAGGATTCTACATCCAGGCAGTTTCAGATATATACTTTCCTCACACAAGGAGTTCCTTTACCTACTGTACACAAACAACTATATTGCTTTCAGTAAAAAGCAGAGATTTCCTATGCTGTCTGAGCCTTCTCATGCTATCTGGGCACTGAAGCAGGTTATAATGGCAACATTTGTTGATTCCTGAATCCTAAAATCATTACATTAATTGAAGGAATTACAGAACAACCAATTACGCCAAATAGCATTATATTTTGTCTGGAAATATTATAGTATAAACTTTTGGCTGGAAGATTTACTATAGAAGTACTGCAGATCTTAGCTTTAATCTCCTCAAAAGATGATCTTCATTGCTGATGCAAACACACACCCCTGAGTTTTACCTTACAACGGTGTGATAAACCAAGCTAACAGCCTTTTACAATTAGGCCCAAACAGGAATATAAATATTATTTTATCCATAAAATTTCTGCTGCATTCCAAAATTATCTGGAGCATCAGACAAATATACAACAATAAAGCAAAGTATAAAAAAATCTGTAATTTCTTGCAGCTTATTCATTTGTGAACAGCAATAAGAACAGTTGCACATCCCAAGGTAATACTCATGCATTTATCCAGATCAGGCTTATGAAGTACTTGCTATAATGAAAGAAAATAGAGACACAGATATAAAATAACACATTGATGATTTCTTCTATCATGATGCAATAAAAATAATTACTGATTTATCATCAATATATCTCTATTTTTTTCTATTCAAACACGATAACTAGGATTAAAAGATTTAAAAAGTATCATTATAGAGATAATAACTGAAGAATGAATTACTGATGATGCCAGACATGCAATTTACAGAACACTGCTAGATGTGAAGACAGAAATAATATTTTTTCTGTAGGGTTACAAAACTGGGAACTTCACAGTATCTTACCATCTGTTACAGAGCGCAGAAATTAATAACAGCAACATACCCAAGTGGTTTGAAAAATGAGCATACTGTGTTTGAGAATACCTGTCTGAACACACCTTAAGAATCCACCTATGATGTCCTGCATATGCCACACTGTGACAGACATCAGCTCAACCCTGGCCCCATTCAATGGCAACACTTTGAAAAACTTGGCATTGCGCAGCTCTGGACACAAGAATGGTGCAGAAGAAGCATAATGAAGAAGAGCAATGATGGCATGTATCTGAGTGAAAGAAAAGTGTTTCTGTTTACAGTCAAAGATACCACATTTTAGCTTGAACAGAAATGAGTGTAATTGAAAATGGCAGAAGATTTTATAAAATCTTCATGGATGACACTGTTTGTACTAGGCTTCTGCCAGAAACAGGTCACTTAGGTTCTCATATACGCCAACACTTAAGCAAATAAAAACAAAAATGGCAAATAAACACGCAAAATGTTTTCATCCTTCCCTCCAAATTATTTATTGTTGCCAGAGCTCTAATCTAATTTTAGGTGAGCTCATCTTTTTTTCTGCCCTGGAGCCATTTTAACTCAATATTGCTCTTCTTCCAGAGCCACGAGAGAGTACAGGCTCCCTTAGCCACCACAGATGTTGTGCTGACATTTTACTTTAGCTGTTTGCTGTACGAGTTATCAATATGGCTTCACTGCTGACGAGACCTTTTCTAACAAAAATGAGAACAAATTGCTGGCATTAGATCAAACTTTGACCTCTGCATTCCAAACCAGGGAAAGTAAGACCTGAACTCCTCGCTGCTGCTTTGAAAGCTTGCAAAAGCTCCTCCAAGCAGGCAAACTTTTTATTTCAGTAAAATATTTCCTGAGCTGCCAGGCTGAGGCTGCCTCCTCTCTCACACTGCCAGATGAGCCAGCCAGCAGGTACAGGCAGCCAGCTGGGGCTCCCATGGGCCTGCCTGCACCACAGCTGTCCTCTCTCTGAAGCAGCAGCAAGTGATGTGAGGTCTTTAGGGAAACCGTTTCAGAAATCATCTTTTCAATCTGCCTCCTTCCCATCTGTTCACCATTCTCATCCTTAGTATTCCTGACCTCTACTCTTTCACCAGCACTACTGCACTCCATGTCTTCCTTTTCCTGCCCCTGGCTATCCCTGGCTCTTCATGTGCTAACATGAAGCTAAGTCTGTGTGGAAGGAAAACTGCAGCCTGAAACGCTTGTGGATTGCTATTTTCCAGACATATATGAGTTTCTAGGAAGATTTTAAAAGCTTTTCTGGGTGCGATTACTCTGTCAGTTTTCCTCAAACAACCCTCAGAGTAACATTTTGGGGTCATCATCTAATTTCCATCACATTTGATGGAGAGATGAAAGCTTCAAAGATATGACATTGCTGAAGTTGTGTAAAAATCAGTGTCTTGAAAAAAGAGGGGGACACCCTAGCTCACTTGCCCTACTGTCAACAGGCTGCAGCAGGAGCCAGCAGTTACTTGCTGTTTAGGTGCCACCAGTCAATCTGCTACAGTGGTGAAATTCCATCTCCTACCCAGCAAGCAGCTATTGGGCAACAAAGAGGAGTCAAAACAGATGAGGATTCTGAAGGTGCGCTTAGACATGTGAGGAATATGAGGAACATAAGGAATAAAGTGTATGTTTGTGGGGAGGCTGATGGTAAGAAAAGCAGATACAGTAACACCCAACATGAAACCATCTGAAATTACCATGGAATCATTTGGGGTTTTGGTGTCTTAGTGCTTACCGTAAATCTCCTGCAATAAATCTGTAGCATAAATAATATGTTTTCCTATGCTTCCACATCTCTTTTATTTAACTATATATTATCAGGCATTTTGAAAAGGTATGCAGTGGAACATGAATTTGAACCATCCTTATACCATCTTCAAGACAGGATGGGAACTGCAAGCTGCTTCCTGGCACACTTATCATGCACTCAGACAATGACTATGGGAAAGGATGCATCTGAGGCCAAAGGGGTGAACCAGCTTGGGTAATTGTTCTCTGCCAGGTCTCAAGATCTGAGAATAGCTAAACACTTAAAATCATCACCACAGCAGGAAATCTAAACTGTAGTCAGAATGTTTTCATTTTTAAACAAGAGATAAAAATAATGCTTCCAACTGAGCAGGCAGCTGAAAGAGAGAATTGCAGGGAAAGGCTGATGCGCTAGAGATTTTACACAAACTCCTTGATTCATGTTTTCCAAACATGTAAGAAAAATGATGCAGTAAACACTGAAACAAAATTACCATTTGAATGTTTGCATTGTCTGTACTCAAATATAACAGCTCCTGTGTCTTACATATCTGTAAAAGTAGGATTTCCTCAAGATCAAACAGCTGGATCTTCTCTAGAACATGTTTCATGTTCTTCAGACTTTGTGCAATTCACTTAGCATAATCTCCACTATGCTATGGATGTAGCATTAAACTGATAAATATGGTTTTATAACAACACAGTAGATCCAGATAATGTCATCTAAGTTGATTTGCACTTACGTTCAAAGACCCACTATATAGAGATAATAAATACAGTACCAGACTGTCAGGCAGGAGAAGCTAGAAGAGACAGATGACCTTTGTGCAATATTTCACCCTCTTCTCTCTCAGGAATGTATAATACAAAGGTATGAAAGCAGACACAGTCAGTCACCACTGACTCTGACCAAAATGTCACCAATTTTATTAGAACACGGAACAGCATTAAAAAAAAAAGTAATCAATTGCTTAGTTATAGCTGTGTTTGCCATGTCTTTGTCTCCCTGAGCGCCTGAGAGAGTGGAACAAAATTGCCAGCAGTCACATTACGGAGACAGGTTGACAGGATGGATGACCCCATAAGTCTTGTTCACATCTCATGTCTGGGCTCTTGACTTGCATCTTAAATGACTTTCATATCAACACCTTTGCAGGGAATCTGCTTTGCCATTCAGAAGGGTTTCTGCTAAACTGAAATCGAACGATGGATGCTTTATCCTACCTGGCACGTCTATAATTGCAAGACCTACTGGGAAACAACACTCTCTCCTCCACCTCCCCCCACCATACACCTGGACTGACTGTTTGAGACACTCTATGAGGGGAGGTATGTGGTATGCACTAAAGAAACAGATGGTCAACAACTTAAAAAAAATCTCCAACACCAGAACTGTTTATTCCCCTGAAACATGAGGACTCCTTCACAATCACAAATCCTGCTCTCCCCCAACACACACCAGCCCAGCTCTCCCTATGTCCCTCTTACTCTGGAGTCATCTGGAGTGGCATGACACAGCAGGAAAAGAGACCGGTTCACTGTGAGACCTGCTACTCACTCTCTTACAGTGTAACGGCCCCCCTTCCAGCCGCATGTCGCTGCGCGGAGCTGCTCCTGACGGGCACCAATCACACAGACAATCTCACTGCTCCTCGGACTCAGGGAGAGCAGGAGGTGCTGGAGCACAGCTGGCACCTTCTGCATCACTGCAGACCTGTCCGCTATGTAGAGTCATACAAACACTTGAGGAGTTTGCATGATGAAGGACAACTACTATGGCTGGCTTGAACATGCAATGTGACTGCTCATACCAGTTCCCTTTGGCTCTTTCTGTGCCCTGTCACATGGAGCACAGACTCTGAGGACATGGCACTGCATGCAGGACAGTAATAGCACAGAATTCAACCTCTGGTCTTCCATTGCTTGGTATGTCCAAGCAAAAGGTTTCTCAATTTATAATTTTCATTATATTTTCAAACAGAACAGTGACTAGCTTTCTTCTCCACTGTTCAATTAAAGCACAACCAATAGGTTTCACCAGGAAAGGCACTGTGAGCAGCTGAAGAAATGAGTAACAGCTGTGCATACCTGCTTGCTGTGCAGTCTGTGGGATCTGTTGACTCCGCTGTGCGTTGTACTGAACTGAGGCAATGGGTCTGTACTGCTGAGTTGTTGAGGTAGGGTACTGACCAGATGGGTAATAATACACTGGCATCTGCAAAGAAGGAGAACAGCACCTAACTGTAAACTCTAAAATCAAAGATTCCTAAAACAAAGCAAAACTGGAAGGAGAGAAAGAGTTCAAGTCAAGCACATTAGTGGTAACAGTAATCAAGAGGAGAGGTTTGCATTATGTCTGTTCAAGAATTGATGCTTGCTTTCAGCTGTGATAGAAAAAGGGCTGCCAGTGCCCACATTTCTTATCAGATACTTTAAGAAATTGATAGGAAAAGGGCTGCCAGTGCTCACATTTCTTATCAGATACTTTAAGAAACAGGAGAAAAAAGAATTTGAATTGAAAGAGACAAATCATGCAAGATACATAAAAAGCTACATTCATGTATACTAAAGAAAAAATAACACAAAAAAAGAATTTTAATTGAAAGAGACAAATCATACAAGATACATAAAAGCTACTTTCATGTATACTAAAGAAAAAATAACACAGTAATATTTAATCATAGTAAAATATCAAATGCTACAAAAAATGGATGCGAACAGCACCTTCATATCAACATAACATACACAGACCAGCATGTTGAACCACTAAATGAACTCTGGAGAAAATAGCCTATTTGAAGCAAACAATGACCTGGAGTAAAAGTATTTAGAAGCAAGATAGAGAGCAAGGTGGAGTGTTTGTGCCCTTAACACTTGTGAGAAACGATTATTACATTCACCTTTCTGTTCAACAGCTACATCCTTTCTTACATGAACATTTCCCTCTAAAGCCTCTCTCACACTTGATGTGAAAACAATTACACTTCAAAAAACATAGTTGTTTTCTTGCAGGAGCTGTGGGTAGGCATTAAGTCAGCAAGTTCTGCTAGATGAGCTTCGTTTTTCTATTATTATTCTTGTCATTATAGAGCAATGTGTACTACATCACCTTATCATGTAGGTGAATATGGAAGTTTGAGGGTGACTGGAGCTAAAGATTTTTCTTATGCTGTACAACCATTACTGAGACATTTGAGCTAAACATTTTTCAATAGACCCTTTGCAAGTTTAAAGCACTCAAAATTTTTAATTTTTAGCTGCAGTGGATGCTGTAGGCACCTGACAGGGTTTGGCAGCGTATGGTATGAACAGACTGCAAAGGGAAACAGGCTTGGGAGAACATTGCTTGTCTTGTGGCTTTTGCCAAAACCATCAGCATTTCTTAATAAATCATACAAATTTTTTACTTTGTGTGTAGCATTTATCCTACTCAGACATATGCACAGAGTCAAACTAAATGCCTTTATTTTTTCATACAAAAACAAGAACTATTTTTGCCACTTTTATCTGCATGGAAGAAATGGTCCTAGAACCATTCACTCAACTTGATAACCCATAAAGTGTTACCAGATTAAAGGTAACTACATCCTTATGCATACTGCTAGGATATCATAAGACAGACCAGAAATCTTCCTAGAGACAATGCTAGGTGAGAAAAACAAAGGCATAGACACAAAAGACTAGGCAAGAAAAGGCTATGAATTGCTACTCAGGCAAGTAGAAGACTACTTGGAATGGGAAATTGTGGTGGGAAAAGTATTAGGATCAACAAAGCTGGACTTGGTGGTATTGAAGTTAACCCTCTCAAGACCCATAGACAGTCAATAAAACCTGCCAAACCTGGCTGACTACCCATTCATTGTTAAAGGTCTATTAATTTTCTAATAAATCAATTGAATTTTTTTTCTCCCTTCACTAATATCAGCCAGATTCACACAAATATGAAAAAAAACAAGGTTTCGATTGGAAAATGTGGTAAGATATTCTCCCTCTAAGTGACACCTACCGGCTACAGCCTGCCCTCAAGTAATTTGTTTCATTAGAGACTGAAGTAACAAAACCAAAATGACTTTGTAGAATGGACAACACCATTATGAATTTGTCTCTCTGCAAAGAAAAGCCACAAGAAATAGGAAAGTGGACCCAGACATTCAAGGTGCAAAATCATTCTTTAAACATCATAGCAGTGTAAATTGTGGATCAGGCAAGTTTAGTGAGATAAACTCATCTCATGGACAGCTGATTGTTCTCGGCAAGACACTACTATAGGAGAATTGAAAGAAGTGAGAAGAATCAGTCTAAGTAAAGTCAATGCAAATAGTTGATCCTGCCTTGGAGTAGGGGAACAGAACAGACATCCTCTCAAAAGTTCTTTATCTTTTATTACTATATTCTACAAAATAAAGAATATTAACCCCTTGTGAAAATCCTCTCACTTCTCCTGACAGCAGATTAATCTCACTTAAAGGATTTAAATTTATTAGATTTAGTCTCAACTTCCTCATTTTCCTTGTGCACACAAGTCCCTAGGAATTTCAAAATACATGAGCATTTGAGAACAATGAGAATTATCTCTTGGGGAACAATTCTGTAGGTATTAACTTTAAAACTTAACTTGAAGAATACAGGTTTTGAAGTAAGAATTATAGTTGAACATGCTGAGAGCAAAACCAAATATGTACATTGACACATACACAAATTTATTTTTACCACACAGATAATACTTCAGAGTCAGGCAAAGGGTTTTCTACCCTTTCTCTCATTTTCTCAATTCATTGGAATATATTTGTTATATAACCCATTTAGGAGTTTATCATAGTGCAGTCTATCAGCATGAAAAATGTTAGTAGTAGGAGGGTAAAAAAAATTATTGCACTTAGAAAGAATAATGGATGAATTTTCCAGTAACCATGCACACATGACTTGCAAAGAGGAGCTTTGGGCTTTGGTAGGTTTTGTTGTGGGGGTGGTTTTTTTTGTTGTTTTTTTTTTTCCTTAAGAGCTCAGACATTAAAAGAGCTTGGTGTAAAGTATAGGCATGGTCTAAAATAGGTCTTTTGTGCTTGAGGGTCTTGGAAAGATCCATTTTCATTTATCTTGATTACATCTCTGTGTCACTACTTGAAACATGTTATTTTTCCTTTCTGATATTACTTTTGTGAACAGTGGAATTAGAGGGATCAGTGATAACAGGTATCACTTACATCATCTACTCTGATGCTCTTGAATTTTTTCGTTTCTCATTCTTCCATAAAGCCCATTACATTTCTGCAGCAGCCCACCAACACGCCAAATTATACTTTCATTGCTTTCCCATATGAAATGCACAATCTAACCTTGGACCTTTTGCTTGTAGAACGTATTTCATTTATAGAATTAGGAAGTTTCCACAGCAGGAACAAGAATTCAAGATAGCTATATGGTTACCAAAAAAAAAGCACTTCTAAGACCATAAACTAAATAAATGCTGCCCTCTTTAGTCTAAAAGCATAGTTTCTTGATCTGAATCCTTGACACTGTGAAAAATGTCCTCTTTTTTTATAATTACCATGGAAACAGTTGACTACCTATTACCTTAGATGTTCCTACTTTGAGGGTGAATACCTTTTTTGTTTGTAGGCTGACCATTCCATTGCACTATATTTTTTATCTCCTACACAGCACTTTATTTAACTTAAATTGTAACAGGACTGGGCATGCCACTTCAGAGACACTCATGAAATGGCACAAACAGATGTTACTTTTTTCTTGTTCTAATGTGCTTTGTCTCTAGATGAGAGGCAGAGACTCAACACAGCATTGGCCTTCGACTTTGTTTGAAACTCATTATGAGGCTGGGTGCCTCTTGGGCTGCTCTCTAGCAGCACCCCTTAAATTCACTGGTATGTTGTTTATTTCCTCGTGGTAGGATCAGGAGTTCACCCATCTTTGAGGATGATTTTACTTTCATAAACCACCTCTCCACTTGCTTATATCTTGACTCAGCCATCAAACAGGTATTCTGCCTTCTTTTAACAATGCTGATATATAGAAAGGTTTGGATTAACACCTTCATCCAGATGATTAGTGATGCTGATACTATTGCTAATGCAACCACTACACTTGCATAAATGGGAGTGAAGAAGACAAGAGCAATCACAGAGATGTATGGACACATGGAGGTACCATTTCTTCTCAATATCTAACTGACCAGGATCAGTCACTCTTCAAGGGTTTTTCTCTTCCCCCCCCCCATAATAATTACAATAACAGTAACAAAAAATAACGGTTCATGTATGACAACTGTAGGATGTCCTCCAATATAATTTTCTAAGATCATTGAGGAAAGACCTGCTCACTTGCAATAACTCCCCAAACTTCTTCATAACAAGCTTCCTAGAGGAGACATGCTATGAATAAAGATTTTGCTATGGTTTCTGCAAAGAAACAGCTAAAATTAATGATGACACAAATTAATTCAGGTGAAAAATCCCTCAACATGTGCATTACTTCCCCAGGGCTCTCCAAGAATTCATGCCATCACAATTTTGGAGATCATTTTACTAGTATACCTTTCAGAAAGAATGAGTCAGAGGTGAAAATAACTTTTAAGAGAGGATATCCTTTCCCACTGGTATAACACTTGCATTTTCCCCATTTCTTCATTTGCAGAGGCAAGGACAAACACCATTGATAAAGCATGGCAAAACAGAATATGAACCCTTGTTGAAGTGTCTGGGCCCATAAGCACTATAGAAGAAGCATCAGAAGATGAAACTTGAAAATAGAGAAAGTAAAGATGTATGTTTGATATTCATGATACAAAGCAAACAGGCATTTGTTGCTAAAAGTCCCTTTCAGCAAACCCAGACTAACGGTTGGGGTTTAGGTTGGGTTTTTTCCAATTGACTGAACAAAGACAGATCTTTATTTTCAGGTTATTAAACCATGACTCTGTTGTCAAGCTGGGGAATAGCTATGATTAAAGAAGCAGCAAAAGAAACATAGTGTCCTCTCAGTCTGCTTGTGCTTTCATACAGACAGAGAGAATCTTCGAGATCAGCTGTAGAGTCATGTTTTATAATGTTAACGAACTCTAATAGAAAAGCTAATAATTTAAATGCAGTACCATTGAGTTTATAGACTTAGAGGGTGTTTCTTTCTCCTCCTTTCAGCTCCCAAAGAAATGATCATAGTAACAGGACCTCCACCCAAATTTTCACTATCTTCCAACAGTGTACAGGGCATCACAGCCAAACTTATCAGAAATGCATTTACAGGAACTAATTAGCCATTACAGTCGTGCCTCTTTTTTACTGATATAAATTCAATAGCAACGTTTAAGATATAAAAGTGCTTTTACATCGATTGCATTGCATTGATTAATGCAATGCATAGTGTTTTGCTTCCATTACCATCTTTATTGCACTTTTTATTTTAAGCCTGCCTCAGGCCACCTGCTTCGGAGTCTGAGAGCAGTTTTGCTATTGGATCTAAGCTCCAAAGAGTAACAACAGCTGACTCAGACTGACAGTAGCCACTGCCACAGTGAAATTTTGCCGTGGGCAGGACAAGGAGTTGAGTGAGGTCTATCTGCCCTGCACAGAAAGCTGAGCTCTCGCAGCAGATCTACTATTTTCCAAGGTTTCACTCCTCTTTATAAGGGGGATCCCCTATTTGCCATACATGTGCTACAAATAGTATCCAAACCACTATGCCACATTCACAATTACAACTTGAAATGTCAATCAGAAGCATCATTCTGCATATGTGGATACAGAGAGAGGCTGCCCTCTCTCTGTCCCAGCAGTCCACTGTGCTTTCTCATGTGGGCAGCAGGGACCAATCCCTGCTATGCCCTCTTCCACAGATATTTGATCAGGATGCTTTTGGAATAGCTACAGGCTGGAGATGAATAGTGTGTGCAGATGCAGAGGAAGCTTACAGTGCTGAATTTCTCACCTTTCTACACGCCCCAAGGATAAACAATTCTTCAGTGAAATAACTGAAGTTGTTGCAAAGCCAAAAGATATTTTTCTGCTCTCAGCAACTTTCCACTTTGTTACAGCATAGAAGGAAAGCACCCATACATACTGTATCTGGGTATGGACAGACACATGGTAACCATTAAATGCACCAGTACCGTATTGGTTCTACAGCAACCTGTACATGAAAAGGCACCTCCTCATCACTTGTCCTCTGAAGAAGTTCACCTTTCTCTCAGTAGCACCAGAGCAAGTATTAATGAGGGAAAACAGCTTCGTCAAGTAACACTACCCTATACTGTGTGAAAACCCTGCACCATGCTGTATATGCAAGGCTGAAATCCAATGGTCCCACACCAAGGTTCAGCCACAGGTAGGCAGGAGCTGTGGGCAAACTTGTCAAAGCAGCTTACGTAAGTCAACCGAGAGTGGTCTAGCAGAGATCCCAGGGTGAGCTGCACACCTGTCTCACCTAAGGGTGTGAGGAAGCAGCATGGTGTCCCTAGTCATGACAGGCAGTGTGATGCTGCACCCCCCTCAACTCTTGCCGCAAACGCCAGTCAGCAGAGCTGGGAAACACATCACTTTGCCTGCTGCAGTGACAGCTTGTAAAATGGAGGTGCTCACACTTATCTGGTTCACTAGAAGTGCTGTGAGGTTTGACTAAACAGTGCTTGAAAACACTGAGAGCACCAGGGGTTTGTACATGAGGACTGAAGCCTGCATGGCCTCTACTTACTCACTAAGGAGGCACAATCTGGATAGGAAGATGGATTCGTCAGGGAATACTGCTCTGTAGGTCATTTCTTCCTTCCCAAATTTAGAAAACCCCAAAACTCTACATTTGACAAACAGTAAAATATTTTTCTGGCAATATTTTAATTTAAAAAAAAATCACATTATATTGAACTTCATCTCCCTAAAATTTATTTTTGCCTTCTCTCAGAAAAAATAGTTGCTTATGGATGTCACAGGTCTCTATGGGATGTTAGCATCCAGTAGTCTACGGATTTCGTTTATTGTTAATTAGTGATATAATTAACTAGATCTTCAGCCCACTTAAAACATCCTAACAGTAAAATTTCTTCATTCCTGTGGCAATACAGAATCCCATTAGCAAACACAACTGGAGATTCTCAGTAAGAAACAGTAAACAAAAAAATCCCAACAAAACCCAGAAAAGTTTACAATGCATTTACATTAAAAGAAATGGTTAAGCTTTTTCACTATATTTGTATATATTTTCTTCCAAAGGCTAAAATGAAAAGAGGAGAAATATTATTAATACCATTTAAAGTAGAGTTTAAATGAAGTTATCTATAATTGGATAAAGAAATTTGTCATTTTAAAGTGTATGCCTTGAAAATTGGCCAGAAAGTCATCTATGCATTTTACTTCTTGACAGTAATCACTTTCAATATTCTGTAAAGGTACCCAGGAGACAAGCAGAGATGTTTGGTAGTGAACAGTAAAACATAATCAGTCTTCAGGAAGACAGTTAAGATTACTGATCTGTGACATCTCACATGTTCAAGTCAATTAAATATGATTAACGAGTACCTGGGCTGATGTGAATGTTGCTCTTTTGGTACATATACAGGGGAAAAGGACTGTGGATATTTACTCACCCTCCTCCTTCATATTCACATGCAGATGTGTCCTGAGAATGAACATATGTTCAGAAAATGTTTCTAGGATAGGGAAGCAATTAATGAAACCCAAGAAACTATAGAGGCTTTGCAAATTTCCTGCTGCCTAAAAATCTTCATACCAGGGGGAAAAAAAAGTACCTAGGATTTCTATATTCTAATTCTGATGTTATAATGAGCACCATGCCAAACTGGTAGCAAAGGTTTTGCCTACCTGAGCGGGTGGTGGTGGTTGTTGCACAAAGCCCTGGGGCGGTGGCGGCGGCTGCAGCACTTGCTGGGATACTGGTGGACCTGAACCCGTAAAGCCTCCTGGGGGAAGCTGTTGACTTGGGGAAGCCATAATGTAACCTGTCTGCTGGGCAGGCTGCTGCAAGATAGGCGATGGGTAGACAGGACCAGAAGGCGATTCAGGGTTGTCCCCTGATGATTGACGACTTAAGCTCATCTGGTTAAACTGTGCTGTCATGTCATCTCGCTGCAGGGCAGAAGGCAGAAGAAAATGATGTAGACATGATGTCTGCAGTAGACACACAAATTAGCAAAATAAACCAGGTTCAGAGCATGAGAGGGAAAGGAATCACTCAGTTCAAATCCATGCCAAACTTTGCATGGGTATCTACAAAAATGGAGGCAATTAAACAAAAATCACTTTAAATGCTTTGACAAAGACTTCCAGACTGCAAGGTGAATGGCATTATCTGGAACAAAAGCCAGTTATTTTGGCTCTTGCCCTACCCCCCACACCTTTTACTTCAAAATGACAAATGAACTTTACAGTGTTCCAAAGAAGACATTTTAAATATAAAGGGCATGAAAATAACATTATTAACACCTCTATCCCCAAACAAAGAATTTGTCAGTCAAACACATACGGGTAATTCCACCTGTGTTTCAAATTGATCCCGAAAGGAATTCAGTAGGATTCAGGTGTGGACCTTTTCCTTTTTGGACAGTTATAAAAATCCAAGGTTGTAAACATAGAGAAGCTAAAAAAAAGCTAAGCCTTATGTTGCTATTCAAGGTTTTTTATTCAGTGTTGAAAAGAAACAAGTACTTTATTTGACTGGAAGGGGAAACAGATAAATCTATGGTGGGATGAACGTACCAAATAAAGTCAATGGACCTAAGTTTCATTACATGCTGGTAATAATACAAGCATTCTGTACAGCAGCTGTTCAGTCTTGCAAAAAGAGTCATACTAATCAATGCTCTCAAGTTCATTCTGTGAAGGTCGAAGATTTACAAATGTGGTTCTATGAGTCTTCATTTATGCCCAACAAATAAACTCAACATAAAACTCCATCATGTGCTAATATGCAGATTACAGATAGGGAATAAACACTTTGCTTAGAACATCTATACTATTTTTTAAAAGGAGCCTCTTTAACTTTGTTTGCAGCCCTGTGGTGCTCGTTCACCAAAACCATCCTGAACACCGCATTTAATGTCAGTCAACTTCAAAACATTTAAAAAAAAAAAGTTTGCTTATAGAAAGCACTGCTAGAGACTGCACAGAGACACAGGCTCCCAGCTCAGAGCAGATACCATGGACCAACGTTTTAAACACTCCTGACAGATCATTAGGTGGTGTGCAGAAGTAATGCTATTAACTTTACCATCATGCTACAGTCATATTCAGGCACATAAGTTGTCTGCCTGAAATTGTTTCTTAAAAAAGCTAGGATGTTCATTACCTGAATGGCAAATGACTGCAAACAGATTCTACATGAAACTGCATTGAGCCTGGAATGCCTCTGAATTTGTACAATAGAAAACAAGAGCTTCAAACCCCTTTAATTTATACAGTGTTTGTATAATGTAATGTATACTGAAGACATTAATTCAGGTGAAGTTTCACTATTAAATTAGCCAATAAAAAGATCAGCCTTTTTACAACTATCACTAGAACAACCTGATATTTCTGCAATGCACTTTTCAAGAGAATTACCATTGAGATATGCAACGTTTGTTCAACACTGAATACTTTTTATTGTCCTTTAAATGGTACCACTCATCTACCAGGCATTGATAATATTATTTTATCTGCAAGGATCTGTTCAGCTGTGTTTCCATCTCTCACTATAACCATGTGACATCTCTACCTTGGAAAAAAAAAATCTGTCATAATCAAGATTACCAGAGCAAGAGAGAAAAACAACAGAAAAAAAAATCTTGCAGTGTCTCTTAAAATGTCAGCTTCATTTTACAACAGTATAATCTTAGCCCTCTAAGCACCAAGCCAGAATCAGACCCCAGAAGAGCACTCTATTTATTTTTATTATACATGTCCACTGGTGCCTTGTCATGATGTACAGCGTACCACACCTTCTGCAGCATCACCACTACTCTCTTTCCCAAGTGCTCTGGTATTACTGAGAAATAAATCCAGGCAGTGGATTTAATATATGGATAAAATAATATAAAATAAAAAAATCATTATTTCTAGAGATCTCTTTTCCAGTCTTTGTGGACATAAAAGAGGGATAACCCAAACCTCAGCTATTCAAGTTAGCAATTTAAGGTCCCTTGACACAAAATGAGGAGACATAAGCTCCTATCACAGGCACAACAAAACATTTTTATGGAGGCTCTGCTAACCACGTAGACAGCTCTGCTCCTAACATCATCCTTCAGGTTAGATAACCAGAATCAGTGGGAATGCTCTTACAAAATGCTTGTCAGTATCAAAAGCATTAAAGCAAACAGGTATTTAGATAGGGGTCTCATGTGGGACACCTGCCACAGTGTGTCCTAGAGGCTCTTGGGCATACTTATGCTCACACTCCCAGCTTCAAGGGAATAAAAATTAAAAAAAATTAAAATCTTTAGTACCACAGAAAACTGCTGCGTTGGAGAGACTGGCAGGAGATGCTGGGCAGGATAAGAAACTGCTGGATATTGGACTGACTGAGAAGATGGCTGCATTGTCTGAACAGGCTGCAAAATAAACACAGTGAAAGACAATAAATTCAGCCATTTAGAGAGAGATAATAACCACCATCACCACCTTTGTTATTGAGAATAAAGGTCTCAAACACAACTCTGAAAATACAGGTGACTCATCACCAGCCCAAGTACAAGATGTCAGGTACTGCAATTTTAGCCTTCATTTTAGCCTTATACCAAACAATTCTTTATTACAGATATTTCTGCCTCTTTTCACATATTTGATGGCTGTTAGATTAAATAAAGCCACAGCTATACCTTCTTATTACTGATGTGAAGCAAAGCCAAATTATGATTCTACATTTAATTTGCTGAGACAAAATGGAAACGCAGCACAGTATAAGTGTATATTTGAATTTTCCTGATAGTGACTGATTTAACTCCGAGTGTGTCATAGGCAAAGGAATAGTGATTGCAAAGCTGCTTTGGCAGAACACAATAGTTCTTTTTAAAAATGACAAAGAACAGGCTGTGAATTACCAACAGACAGGCCGTCAGCTTGGAGCAGATGTTTATCTAAGTGAAAAAACAATTTTCCACAGCATTATTACCTTGGAATAGCTTTAGTATTCCTTTCATTTTAACCTCTCATTTAACTTCTTACACAGGTTTGGTACTACCGCTGTGTTCTAAAACAGCAAAGACCAGGTCAAGAAATAACTGCCATAACCATGCAAGCCCAAACCCAGTAGAATCAAAGCAACTTCAGTGAATTTAAACACTGTATTTCTGGGTAACTGTGACAAAACTCTGCCAAATTAGAAATCCACACAAAAACCACAGTAGATCTTGGCTGCTCTGTGACTAAGCAGGGTATAGGATTCTTGCTAGAGTGGTTCCCTCCGCCTGCTCTGCTCTGGGAGAACAGGCATGCAATCCACAAAATTAAGTTTGAACCAGCCCTAAACCCTGCTGCCCATGCTTGGCCATGCCTGGTTGCACACCACAGCTGGCCCAGCAGCTAGAGAGCCAACATTTTGTGGCACTGTGCCCAAACCACACTGCTCTTCCCATCTGCTGTAGCTCCAGAATTTTTAGCTCAGAGCAGGGCCATGGCCAGAACACAGAGTGCAGGCAGAAGACCCACCAATCTGGGTCAGAGGTGCTTGAATAGCAGACGACCCATACATTGGGCCTCATACAACCAGGCATGGAAGAGTTTGTAGAGCCCTTCATTGTACTTGATCCTTTGACTCAAACCCACTGCTGTTGAAAGGGACAGAGAAAGGTTCCTGGCTCTTTGGAGAGAATTACACTCTGCACTAGTTTGAGAGCGAATGCTTCAGACTCCACTTATGGGTGAATTTTGCAAAATAACTTTATGTAGACATACATCAACTCGCTTAACAGTACTTTTGAAAATGAAATCATCCTTTAGATGGAATTGAGAAAGTAATCTTCCTTCTCCATCTGTTTCATCCATGTTGAAAAGAACATCCTGATACTTTGTCTAGCTGCATTCCTCTTTCCTACCCTTTAAGTCATCCTTCATATCCCTGAAAGCTTCTTTTTTCCAGTGGCTACCACACCTACCTGTGTGACAAGGTGACTTGCCATTTGCTGCTGCGGCTGTTGAACCTGCTGAGGCTGCTGGGATGAAGGCTGCTGCTGAGACTGTCCCACTATCTGGCTTCTCATCGTCTGCTGGCCACTGGGAGGATTATATATTGCCGGTGTCCCGTCAGGATTTACAAATGGTTGACCTGAAACAAAACACCCTGTGTTTGCTGAACACTTTTAAGAACATACTGCTTTCTGTATGAAAGCATACAACCTTGCTTAAGTGATCACTCTTTAGCTGACCTGCTACAACAGTAAAGTGCTCATCACTGTCAATGCTTCATTACAGTAATTACAGTATCAGCCATCTTTTTTCTTTTTTTTTTTTTTTTCAGGCAAGACAGACAGCAGATATTTGTTTTGGCAGTATGATTTTCCAAGGAATGGGTGGAAGGTTACCATGGCTATAAGATGATTCAGATGTTATGGTTATTTGAAGTCATTCAATGATGAATCAATTAACATTAAAATTGAACTTCTGAGCAAACACTGAAGGTAGGGAATATTCACTTTCATTTTACTCACACACAATAGCAGTCAAATGTACACAGCTACTTCTGACACACTATAGTCACACTTTTTAATAATTTCCTTACACATTCTAATAACACTGTGTTTTTGAGAGCCATGCCCTATGTAATTCAAGGAGCCAGCACTCCAGTTTTCAAAGAAGCAACACTTAAGGTATATTTGAAAATCTCTCATATCTAAGACAAATTCTGTCCAAAGTTCTACTAAGTTGTTGAACTCATTTTGCTTCAGTATTTTAGCTGGGGAAATAATCTTGCAAAAACAATGCTTGTTTAAAAAAAAATTAAAAATTACTCAAGTCATAGTCTTACAAACAAAAGAGAAATTATATTTCTCTGTAGGAAAAATGTTTCCCATTACCTTAGTTGTCTTTTTACTTCCATCAAAAATTCCTAAATCAAAGTAATTACAGATGTTTCCATGCGAAAAAGAAAGTAATTTTAGCAATGACATGATAACTTTTAGGGTAGCTAACTAAAGTATGAATATCTGAGATTAAAAGGGACATCTGGATAAATTTGGTGACTTAGAGCAACAGTGAAATAATGAACTTCTGATTTATATAGTACAAAGCACCTCTACCTGTTCTATCTACTCCTCACCTTTCAGTTTCTGTCTCCTATGAATCACAGTCAGAAACATGCCTTCTCTCTAAAGCAGCAAGACTCTCTGGACAAACTAAAATAACACTCATGGTGCAAAAGATCATGACTGAGTGGAAGAGAAGCACAAGGAAGTTCTGCCCACTAATTTCTGGATTCTTGCTGTGAATACACTGGGTGATTATGGCATGCACTCACAAGATTTGTGAGTCTCGGGCTCCAGAAGTACTTTAGAAGACTGGGTGAGTGGGACAACAGGCTCCCAAAGCCTATGTCAGATGCTCAAGGGAAGCCAATAAAGAGCATTTCCTGTGGCTCAGTGAAGGATGACAGAACTGAAAGAGAAATGGAGCAGCAACACTTTTAGAGATGGAAAAAAGAGACTTTTCATGAAGAAATCTTGAAATAAGAAATGAAAAGGAGAGACCAGATGGTAACAGGGAAGACATTTGTAAGTTATGAACTGTGGTCCTGATAGAAGGGCAAAGATTGCAATGTCAGTTGAAGGAGTAAGAATGAAACATAAATGCTCTTAAATTGTCAAAGGGGTTAAGTCAGAATGTGTCAAGAGGTAAAAATACCTTTTACCTTTGAAGAGTAAAATAGACTGGTGAGGCAGGTGAGATGGAGAGTAAATCAGCACAGCCACATAAATGGTTCTTTGCCAAAGCAAGTAAGAAGCTTCTGAGGAAGGAGAATGGTAAAGAAGAGGAGAGGAAATAAAGGAAACTGCAGAAATGAAAAAAAGTGTGGATTGCCAACACCTGAGAAGGAGCAGAGAGGTACAA